AATATATTTTGTCAGTGCCCATCCTAGGGTCAGGAGGGAGACTATGTAGACATCCCCTAAGTGATCTCTGCAGGTGCTAAACTGAGACACTCCTACCCCCAGTGCCTCTTTCCTGCCCTTGGTGCATCTCCATTGATGGGGTAAGGACTATCTTCCTTTAGATATGTCAGTAGCATGTCTAGAATAGTAAGTTCCAGATCTTTGGTGCTTTTAGACACTATAATATAAATAAAGAACAACAGCAATAAAAATAAGGCATTGTTCATGAATAGGGATGTTTTTTGGAACTGAGAACAACAACTATGTTAAGGATGCAAGTTTCTAATTTGTCTCTGCCTAGACAAATAAAAAGGATGGCTTTGGAGGGCCAGGGCTCAGATTCAGCTATCACGGAGTCTAGCTGGCAGCCCATGAAGGCCAGCATGTAGCCAGTGGGTACCTGCAGCTACCTCCCCTACTGCCACAGGATGGAAGGGGGTTACATGTCACTGGTGTTGTTTGTATGGTGGGGGAAAGAAGGCCATGTGCCTCCCATGCAGTGGGGTTGCAGTAGGGGCGGCGATCATGGTGCGGGTGGGAATCCCAAGGACCTGCTCTCATAGGGTGTGGTGGGTGTAGTGTGTGGCTCAGAAGCCACACACCAGAACCAGGTGAAGCTAGTTCTGCCTCAGATGCGCTGAAGTTGCACAGCCTTGTGGTATAGCAACACCTCTCTGAAGTTAGTATCTTGTTCATTTCTTTTCTTTTTAAATAGGTCTCTAGCTTTTATGGTTAAATAAAAAAACCTAAAAATGCGGCCAAGTTTAAATGAAGCAGAAAAGATGAAATAGTTCCAAAAGGTGTGAACTGGTAGAGTCTGTCTCTACTAAAGTCACTTCCATGTAAAAAACTAGCTCAAATCAGTTCAACTGTAGTAGTATGAAGCTCAATGGGCATGTCTGCACATACACACTTACTGCACAGTAATTTAGTTTACTGTGCACTAACCGAAAATTACTGTGCCGTATGGGTGTGCATTTACACGTGCGTACTGCGCAGTAACTGTGGTGACCTACACCGATTTGGGCATAAATTTACTTCCTGCATGATGCAGGTAGGAAATTTATGCTTGAGTAGTTACTGTGTGGTAATGCACATGTAGATACATTACTGTGCAGTAGGGCTGTGCGAAATTTTGCTGGCCAGTTCGTTCTGACACCGTTTCGACCAATTTGGAGGTCAAAACAGCAAAATCAGAATGAAACAAAGGCCATCAAAATAGCCTCGAAACAAAACAAGGCTGGTCAAAACATTTTGAAAGTTGAAACGTTTCAGCCATAGGCTAGGGATGGGAAGTCAGTCCAGCTGGGCTGACTTCCCAACCCCAGCGAAACTCGAAACAGCATGGAAACAGCCTTTCTATTTTGACAGAACGGAATGGAAGAGCTATTTTGACTCAAAATGAAATTTGATAAGAAACACTGTTCCGTTGAACCACCAAAATTCAAGGTGAAACAGAACAGTGCCATTTCGCATAGCTCTACTGTGTAGTAACAATGTGTGTATGAATGGGCTTGGGACAAACTTTATTCTCATAATGATCCATACACAGCATTACTGCATTGTAATGCCTGTACATCTAGACACTGGCTTGAAAAATGTTTATTGTGCAGTAAATGCATATGTAGACAAGCCCAGAATAAGCTAACTGTCTGAGCATTTGCCCTGCTTCTTAAGCAGGTTTTGCAGCTCTTGTTGAGCTCTCTTGTGTATATCTAGAATGCATTGTGGTTACAAATCTATCACCATTTATCACAAGGCAGGGAGGGGTGGCATCTTAGAAACTAGCTGGTTAAGACAGGCATGAGCTTTTGTAGGCAACAACACACTTTGTCAGGTGCTCAGCTACATAACTTCTGGCAGTCCGTTCCTAGTATCTGGTGCTTTCACAGTGGCAGTGTCAGGGGTTCCTGTTTCCCAGTCTCACCAGAACTTTCACTGTGAGAATACTGGCAATAGCTATTGCTCTTGCAGTGATGGCAGCAGCAGAAAGTTCCCTCTGACAGCTGTGATGAGGAGGCAGACACTCTTGCAAGTGCTTCCAATGCAGTGTGCTGGCAGCATGCTGGCAGGGGTCTCTGTGGGATGCTGGGGGTCCAAGACCTTAATGGCCTTAGCTGAGGGGTATAGATCTCTTTCCTATTCTCAATACACTTAGTGCTTTTAAGGCAGTGATTCTCAAACAGGATGCTGCAGCACCCTGGGG